TGTGTGTGTGTGTGTGTGTGTGTGAAAGCACATCTGACGCCAGACTGAGCCAAACAAATTATGGTACAATAATCTTTATAAATAAAGTTCCATCCTTTGCATGTGGGTTGAATACTGCCAGGTTACCTAGGCCAGGCAGGTGAATTTTCTTGAGGAATCCACAACCGGAGCCTGTGGCTAACCAAAGACTGACCCGCAAGGCAGCGGGGTGGTGTGTGAAAACCGCAATCAATTGGGGGTCGGTGTCCAGTTCATTGAATCATACGTCCTTCGGATGGGGTCAAACGTCCGAGGTGCCCAATCGAGCCGGTGATTACTGTCACAACCGGAAGGGTGTGTGTGGTTCGTACGCCTCCTCTTGGTTGGTTTGGAATTAGGGTTTTTGGCCAACTCCCCTGGGTGAACTACTTATTGTCCACCAACCCGGTTATAGCCCCGGATGTCGGCTTTTCGTCATCTCACTTTGGTGAGAAAACCTCCACCTGGAGAAGGCAGTGAGTAGGGCTTCCTCCGCAGAGACTATTTGAGACGCTTGTTCGCATGGGAGTATTTCGCGAGGTGCAAGTTGCCGCAACCCTAGACACCCAACCCTACGGAATATTGTTTCAAATCGGTTCTGTAGTGGTTTGGAACAAGATGACCTAAAACAGGTGGATGCTTGTTTACGTGTTCACTTCATCAAATATGGGTACACCTGATTTTCCATATTCCACTGTCTCAAAGCTAGCGATTCGCTGCTTCCCATGCCATTCTCCACGTTTGTAAAGTCCAGCTTCCGTTTTTACTACCATTTACCATGCACATCAGTGCACCGGTTTTGGTTGCTGCCGTATGACTGTATATCTAATGAAGGTGTAAACGAAAGATTGGAATGTCCAAATCAGTGTCAGAGTGAACAAGAGAATTCATGAAGATGAAGATTACAAAGTGGTTTGGAATGTTGTCATCGCGTTTCAAATGCTCTTATTTCGAGCGGACTTCATCTCCATACCGCGGAACCTGTAGCAATCAAAATCATGAACCCACCACTGTGCAAACAGAAGAAAATGGTTACCGCACTCCAGTTCCCTTAGTCTCAACCAAACCTACGTGTTGATTCGGACCATGATCTCAGTCATGTCGTGATAACGCAATATGGCATGACAAATTGCACGTGAAAAAAGGTCACCGAAAATTCCAGAATTGACTTTGTCCCCCCCCCCTTTCGCCCACTGTCCACATTTTATCCACTCGCTCTGATTAAACTTGATAGACATTGTTGTATTTTCATACTCTATGGACCAATCACATTTATTTCTACATTAGATATAAACACACACACATATATAACTTTAAAGGCCTGGAGACGAAGTTACAAAAACAAGCTTGTTTGCTATATTGTTTGGCTTTTAATACATATATAATTATAGTGAATGATTGTCAGTTGGTGGCAGCTCAGTGTTGTTGAGGCCATAAAATTGTATCGAAATAATGATGTATGTACGAACAGTCTGCCCGCACTCTGTTATAGAGCCAGGATGTTATATTTGGTCATGAATCACCCCAGCCCAACTTGTCTTGTGCTTGTACAGTATGTGCGCATCTCAGTCGATCCATTCCTCGACAGTAAGGGACACAGCAGAATCAAAAACTGTTGAAAGACGAAGTAATAACCGAAGTTCATGATACTTGTTTCAGCATGTTCTGATAGATATCCATCCGTACTGTTGTCGACCACCTTCGTGTTCGGGTTTGGCACTCTGCAGTCCCTTGACTGTTATTGTTCCTCAATCACGTGGCAAGTCGGATTCAGTTTTTGACACCGTATCAGATAATTCGTGTTTCATATTTCTTCAAACTTATTCGTTCTCTTTTTCCTTACGCGTCGCACCTGTAAAATAGTCCAATCTGCGAACTACCTTGTCTGGAACACCCTCGTCAGATATAGCCGAATGCACTCTGAATGAAACCCTCACGTGTGATGACGATGTCAAATTGAATCTCTCCACCGTTCGTCCAAGTAAGTCTCCATACCACACTTCTTTCTGTGATTGCCCCAATTTCACTACAGCTATGTAAGAAAAATATTTGCCTACTTGATCTTGTACAAATCAGTTCAGTGCTCACTCACAATCAACCACTATTCGCTCCCTCTACCCATCTCTGTTGATTTGAATCTTCATCCCCCCCCTCTCGTGGTCATTCCGTCCTATTTTTCAGGTCTTCTACCTGCGTCCATTTTGGACGCTACTCCAATCATCCCCGGAAACGAGTTTACATTTTCCGCTCCACGACGAGTTTCTGCACGTCCTAAAGTAAGTCAGCGTCCCTTCTCTGTCCGCAAAAGAGCTTTTTACATGGTAGTCCAAGCATGGTCTGGTTACTTTCGAGATGCATCAGAGGACTAATTCGAATAACAAGGTGCACTGTGAAGTAAAAAGCTGAAATGAAGCGCGAATAATTGCAGAGATGTTACTGTTTCATCAACCTATCCCTATCGCTCGATATCGATAGCCTGATGGCTGGAATTCCCGGTAGTCGCAACACTGTGGATTCAATAATTTTTCATGTCCCCACATTGAACGGTCAATCTGTTTGGTTCACACGAGTCACCCGGGGGCTCCACAAATTTGGTTCCATGTGACAATGACCACATCCCGGCAACCGCTTGGTAAGCGGGCTTCTCAGATCATGTTTTATCGCCGATGCATGAAAACCAGTTCTGGTCTCAGATCCTAACTCCAGATGACCGCGTCTGGTCTGATACGATTCGAGATGTTTATGAGGCCGGCTTACAGCAAACCGTCGAAATAAACTTTAACGGGAAACTAAAATGGACATCCATCCTGATGTATATTGTGCGGTTAATGATTTTCCCCATACGACACAATTCCAGTGATAGGCAGTATCGCTGTCGCCCGGGTTAATACCATGCCTGTATTAGGAAGGCTTTACTTGATTCGCCACTCTGGTCCTAGTTTACCTGTTTCCGCGAGTGGACAGTCGATCTCCGTAACTAAGGTTTATATCCCTTCTGCTTTTCATCACACAATAGCGTGTAATAATAAGAATCTTGAAACTGTAGAACATCGTTTCATGCCCCATGAGGTACTCAACATGTAATCCGAACTTAGTTTTGATCCTCATTCCACACACACACATTGACAGTAATACTTCAGTAATCAGTGCATTATGCGACGTGTATCTCAGTGATATATTCCATTCTGTCTTCTGTACGACGATGCTTGTGCTCATTCAAAAACCTTCCATTTAGCTCGATGAAATGCGCCCGTCTACGCTGAACGACCGCCCATCTTTTGAGTTCGCGACCCCGTTGAATCCGCACGTGGAACTGACTCAGCTCTCGGGTTTGTCCGCGGAAACATCCGAGCCGAATCTGGACGACAACACCAAGACACCCGAATCGCATTTGAAAGAGGTCACCAACACGTGAGTTCCCTTGTGCTTCCGCCAGTTTGTCTGTCTATCTCTCCACACATCTAGGGCCTACCTCCCGTGATACATTATGTGCATGGGCTAGTCCTACGATAAGCTCCATCTCCTATTTGTTTCCATCCATAATCATTTGCATATCGCACATTCCCAATCTCAGTTGACTCCCCCGAAATGAATCCAGGTGTGAACGAGTGTTTCAAACCATATATATGTAAATCCAATATTGCTGTTCCTACCTTATACGTTTTGTTGAATCTGCTTCAAAAGAGCAAGTTATGCAATATAATACTGTCTATCATGGATAGAATGTGTAAACCTTCGTTAACCACGTGAATTCTAGTGCAGCATCAACAGTTTAGGTCACTTTGAGTGTGACCTTCCCTGGTCCGTTGGGTCATTTTCTACTCTGCCCGCAATTCACAGTGGTGCTCAATCCATTCTAACTAACCGGATAACAATACTTTCTTTTTTGGAGATCCTCTTCGCCCGTTCACTAATCTGGCCCCACATAGGACAAAATTGCCTGTCATGCCGCGCAAAAGTCATTTACCACACACGTTTTCTGCAATACCACGTACATATTTATGCATTTTCGAGCCAAACGATTGTTCAATCGTCCCTTGAACAGAATATAATGAACATCTTGAACATCGCCACACCATCAGAAAAACTTTGGACAATGGTCTGCTGTGAAGCAACACATACGAATCAAATGCTGAGCTTCTTAGGAAGTTTAAATTCCAAAAGCATCCGGTCGAAAAAAATCATATTTTTGGCAAAAATAGCAAAAAGAAAAAAGCCGCAACTGGCTGAGCCTCCGGGCCGAAATGATCGATCAGTGTATTCGACCGGACGGTCCGACGTTTCTGATTGGTCCGACAGCGTAGTCAACCGGGCGGTTCGACGACTCTGATTGGTCAGTTATACCGAACGTTCAGAACGCACTGGAGGCAATAAATAGGACGAATGCTAACCCGTAAAAAAGGAAGACACAATTTTTCCCTAATATGCTGTATTGTGCCATTTTGATTGTGTTCTCTTCTTCGGCTCGAAATTAGTTGGTGCGATAGCAGTATCAGCAACAGTCAGTACACAACAAATTTGGCGACGGGGATGGGATGGCCGCACACGGAGACGGCAAGAGTTTGGACTGTAGTAATTGTTTCACTTGCTCGAATACACGTTGACAGTCGCTGGACCATACACATTTGATCCCCTTGGTCCAAAACTGATTGAGGGGTTCACGCAACCGGTGCATAGCTGGGAGGAAGACACTGTAATAACTGAACAATCCGAGGAATAACTTTTACTGGAGCACATCGAATGGTGGAGGTATTTTAACGATGGGTGCAGTGTTGGTGGGGTCAGATCTGCGGCCGTTTTTGTCGATAATGAAACCAAGGTACATCACAGAATTCAGAAAAATAACTCACATTTTTCTCGTTTTAGTCGGAATCCATAGTCAATTATCCTTTGCAGAACAGCGTCTATTCGGGAGAGTAGCTCTTCTTTTGTCTGACCGATAATT